CTATACATCAGCCATTCTCATCCTCCCCTCTCTCATGACAAGGCACACACGAGTCCTATCATGAAAAAAGGTTCATTGTGCGACCTGAGTAACGCGCAGTAACGGGGTGTCTGCAATGGTAACTGCGTTATAGTTACAGTCTAAATAATTAGATTAATTGTTAGTAAAAAAAGGTAACTCCCATCACTGGTCAGTGTTTGCCTTTTCTTTCAATGCCATCGTTATCTTCAATACTTGAATTATGTCCAAACTGTGTAGGCATGGCAGTGTGCCCGTCATGGCTGGTGCTATCTAAGTTCTTCAGCTTAGCATTTTCCGCTAGATGTCAAAGATGTAAAAGCTAATGGAGGTTCTTGATGTTTAAGTCATTTAGCCTTAGTCAAACCTTTCATCTTACCTCCCTCCTCCAGCATAAAGCTAAATTTATCCTAAATGGGTGACTTTTTTTTTTTTTGCAAAATCTTCCTCCATTTTTAGACATTTGTGTTCAGAAGGTCATCCCGTAAATAGCTACATTACTCCATCCACAAAAGTCCAAACATCACCTGCATAAATAAATCATCCATGGCTGGTATATTGATTAATGAAAAACAATCCAACAGGAGTTCAAAGCCATGTTTAGAACCGACAGACGGGGTTATAGGCTGGTTCCAATCCTGCTCAGTTCTGACCTGCTAATAGCTTTCTGATCTGCCTCTTTAAGGGTTATAATCTAGGATAGTGAACCAGTGGATCATCTGGTCCCTCCAGCAGAATCCAGGCTCAGTAACAGAACCAGGATGACCCAGATCAGTTCCTTGGAAGGAGCTCCTCACACTAGAAGTCCCACAGAGAACCTTGGTTCTGTCAGAACTTCTCTACAGATTGCTTCTTGTCTCTGTCCTCAGTTTCCCAGCATGCCTTGGGGCTCCAGGTGTTTGAGGGGGAGGAGTCTGTCCTGCTGCCCTGTCAGGTCAAACCTTCTGTGTCCAGTGGTTCTACAACAGTTTGGGACAGAGACGACTTCCGGATCCCCACGGTCCATGTTCGTGAGCCGGCTGGGGATTATCTGAAGGACCAGAACCAGCGTTATGAAGGTCGGACCTCAATGATGGAGGACGCTCTGCAGACCGGAGACCTCAGTCTGACTCTGAGGAAACCCACCTTCACCGACAGCGGGAACTTCACCTGCACCGTCCGCAGGATGGGAGAAGATCTGCACCAAGAAACTGTGGAGCTGCAGGTCAAAGGTCAGAGAGGAAGCTTCTCTGGATGATCTAAAGGTATTTAGACATCATTGGAAACATCAGCTTCTCTCTCTGTTAATGGTGTCTGCAGATCCTCCTCCTCCTGTCTGGCCCTGGGTTCTGCTTGGGGTTCTGATCCCCATAGTTCTGCTGGTTGGTGCAGCTGCTGTTTGGTACTACAGATGGAAAAAGAAGCACACAGCAGGTATGTTGGTCACTGGATGGAGGATGAACCAGCTGAGATTTGATGAAGGCTGCAGATCTATCTTTAAGTACTCTTACCCAGTCCAACCAATGAGGGTTTTACTGGGAATGAGGTTGCCTAACTTTACAGTGAATCCAGAAGGTTTTGAAAGCATTTCACTTTTTCCATATCTTATGTGACCGCCTTATTCTAAAAAATAATGAAATCTATTTCCACATTTTAAACCCGCCATATAATGACATGGTAGAGAAAATATTTCTTTCTTGTTTTGTCATATTGTGCCTCAGGGTTCTGTGTTTGAGCTATTAGTATTTCTGATTTCCGTACTCCGTCTTCGGCACTTTTGGAATCTTTTAAGAGGTTTCGTATCTCAGCTATGCAGATGATATTAGGTTATACATTTCTTCTGTTCCTCATTCAATCTCTGATGTCCTACTCTTACAGATCAGTGTAGACTTAAGTTCTTCAACTTAGAGAAGATAATAAATATCTATGGTTTGGTTGTAGGAAAGCTAACAGCTCTAGAGATGAAAACTTTGTCTTTTGACTCACACCAAGTCTTCCAATAGAACTTTGGTGTAAACTCTGACTGAGGTTTTCTTCCTCAGCTCACTATTTTATCACTTATGATAAATGATGCTAAGCACAAGCTAAGTCCTTCCATCTCATCTAAGGCTGGGCATACACTGTACGAGTTTTTGCCCTTTTCGGGTGTTAACATCAGGAAAAAATCAAACGTGTTTGAAATTCAATTGCACCGTGCATGTGCAAACAAGGAAGTTCTATTTTTTTCTTCCGACTAGTGGCGTCTCTCGGTGCTAAGTCCGAGGTGGGAGTTTTGGACGTACAGTATGGGCAGTTAGATCAGAGCATCAGTCCATACAGTGGAAGAACAAACATTGCGGCCTGTGAACTTTTGAACCCTGCAATTCCATAGTATATGAGCTGTAGCTGAGTACAACCATTGAAAATGTCGGACAGTGTATTAAACCAAGACCTACAGTCCTCCCAAAAACAGTTTGCATGGAAAATCTTTAAAAAAATTTACATATTTCATAACAGCATGAGCTTCTCACATGTCAGATTCATGCCATGAGTTCCATTTTGTCTTTCTTTTGTGCTTAGCATTGCTAAGCAGACTTTCACTGTAAAAATCTTAAGGAAGATGTGTGGAACATGGAGGCAGCTGAGCTCAACTTGGATCTCCACAGGAAAGGCTGTTAATATCAAGTGAAGGATCTTGAAATTATTTGCCAAATGTTCAGAAACCCAAAAGGGACCTCTGAATGAGGTGAAATATCCAGAACAACCAGTAAAATGTTCTTATGCCTTCATTTGTTCTAGTTCATCCCTATTGTCCAACAGAGGTGGCGCTACAAGCACTAAATGATCACTCTGGTGCAGGTTGAGAATTAGTATCAACAAAGTCAAATGTGACCTACCAGTGATCAACGTAAGTCTATTTAACCACGTGAACCTGGGAGTCAGTCTCTTATCATCATCTTGCGCACAGATTTGTGGTGAGCGGTTCTACTGATGTGTGTTTCCATTTCCCTTTCCGCTGGATCAGCTTGCCGGTAGTCTCGTGGCTACCGTGGTCAGAGCTCTGGGTGTGTTTGCAGGCATCTCAGCTTGTAGACAAGGTAGGATCTGTCAATGATATCGACAGATCATCTGCGTTAGTGAGTCTGTTTTTTTTTCTTTACCCGACAGTTGATTGCTGCTCTACATTCTGTTGATTCACCACCAGTGGAGATTTCTGCCCTGCTGGTGTCATTTGGCTTGTCACAGCAGCTGTTACCTGATCGCTGTACGTAGTAGTTGGCTTATTACCATAGCTGATTGATGTGCCCTTAACTTTATATCTTACCGGTGGCGTTTTTCTGCCAGGGCTGAGTTTGGTCTGTTTTTTGTTTTTGTTTTTTCTGAGACAACAGTTTGCTACCAGCGCTTTTCTGTGAACTGAGCTGTCAAGTTTGGCTGGGGTTACCTAGTTAAACATGGAGCATCTCTGTTGCCATCTGACGGCCATGACCTATACCCCTTTCCTGGGTGTGTACCACCTCAAAGAGGGGATTACGGATTCTGCCCACTCTAATTGTATTGTTCTACACTGAGCACTGTGACTGGTTCGGCTGTCCAATCTTCCAGGGTTGCAGGGGAAGTATGTATTGGTCTGGTTTGACAACACCATGGTGGTCTTTGGCATCAACCGCCAAAAGGGGTCCAGATGCTGCTGTCCTTGACCCACTGCCTCATGGTTCGGGCAGTACCTCAATAGCCTCAGGGCAGCCTACATTCCGAGCCTGCAGAATGGGCCTGCAGACGTCCTTTCTCCCACGTCGCCTCTTGCGGGGGAGTGGCTTGGGGAATCGCATGCCCTTTCTGTGTCCAGGCATTGTTACCAGTGCAACCCGGATGGCCCAGGGGTCACACTGTGGACCGCACATTTTACCGCTTTGATTGTCCAAGTTTGATTCAGGTACCCCTTCTTAACCTCTGTGTCTAGTCAGAGAACTGGAGGTCTATATCTGCTCCAAAGCAACCATCCAGCTGACTGAGAGCCTCTTTATATGCTATGCTGGCCCTCATAGAGGGTACCACTGCAGTTCATCTGCAAGGCAGCCTCCTGGGCGGTGTCACCCCTTGTTCACACTAGCTCCGGTGCAGTTACCGAGCCGACGGTGACCGCAACTCCCGCACACCCCCTCTCACACCGCCCTTTTGACTACGGTGCGGTGC